TATATATATATATATATATATATTCTAACTATCATGTGTGATATTTGTATATATAATATTATTTTGAACATCCAACAAAAAGGGTCTCATTATTTTTAACTTATTAATACTTTTCTCCACGTTTTCACTATTCATACTTGTGCATAGTTTTTTCCATAACAATTGGTTTCTGGAACCTTTGATTATGGGCTTACCCAATTGTTAGTGAATTTGATGAGACTATGGTTATAGAGATCTTTTCTACTAAACTAGAAGGTAAATCTTAAATTGAACATTATTTGAATTCACATTATAATTTGAACTGAGAATATTATTTGGATTTATTAATGACATAATACCAAATGCCTAGAGCATTTATGAATATATCTGTTTTCTCTATATCATTTCTCTATATAGTTCAAAAAGGGCCTTCAAGACGGATGTAATCATACATAACCCCTTGGAACATACCCTTGCACATAGACTGAGTCAAGTATATAGTGTTTTCCCCAACTCTAAGTGAATTTCCGGGAAATTCAACACTATACAATTTGTACAATCCATGTATACCATGTCTCGCAATGGCATTGTCCTTGCCTATGAGCCCGGTCGTGAAGACAGGCTCAGAGTTCGCTTCATTGATCCGAATCTCTAGCTCAGATTCCATGGATGACGCCAAAGCTAGCCTCAGGATGTAATTCCCGGCCCCGTGGTTCACGGCTCCTAGCTTGAACACGATCTGCCATGTTGTTGCTTTGAACGTATTTTTCTCCATCTTTCTGCAATGAATAATTTACATATATAGCATTTATTTTTTTCTCAATATTGGCAACTATGACATTTCAACTGTTATGGAAAATAATTACCTAGTAACATGCGCAAAGAACCAGTCTTTTCTGTAATCACTTGTTTCAACCTTGTATACAAGATCATCCCGAGGCCCGAGGGTATAAATCCGCATACCGAGCCCACAATCCATATTGCCTAAATCTGCACATTTTTTATAACGTCAAACATTAGTAAAATATGTGTAATAAACATTAACAAATTGTAAAAGAATGAAATATTTACTTCTGTTGAGTCATATTAACATAGAGTCTGTTAATGAGGTTAGGGTAAGGATCCGGGACAAAGAATTCACGGGCGGTCCGGTCGGGTACACCGATTTCCCACAATGTCGGGCCTTTTCTCGGTGGCTCGTACACGAGGGCTCCCAAATTCACATCACAACCTGCATCACAAAGGATACGACATCAAACAATGCTTGGAATCGTCATTTCACATTCTATGGACATAATGATGGGCTTGATTTGGGCCTGATTATATCATGGGCCTATAAAAGAACATGGAAGTCTCAATGGCCCATACATATACGCATGTGTGTAAGTAAATACCTTGCGTGATGGTGATGTCATGCTGATATTTGTAGTCACCGATAAAGCCAGGAACCCACGCGAAGAGACTATAATTCCCTTCTCTGATATTCTTTATCACGAATCTCCCGCCTTTATCGGTCTGAGTCCAGAATTGATATCCCTACAAATACACGTAAAATATAGTCGTCTGAAAATCAATTGACAAGTTTATTAAATGGTGCATTTACATATAATACCATTTGAACGTAATTTGTAGTAAAACAGGTTGATACCTTAGCCTCAGTTTGCCATGATCCAGCTTTGCCGCTTGGCGCCAAACCCACGAAAGCGAATTCCGCGGATATATTACTCGTAGATTTGTTACTGCAGCCACGAAATTCGCATGACGAACCGCCATTGAATTAGTGGTTATAAATCTAATTTTGTACGATTTGCGTTTGCCTAATAAGCATCTTATTGATAATAATACGGAGTGTAAAATTGTGGGAGAAACTCACCTGTCCTTGACGAAGAGATTGCCTCGGACAGCTCCTCTTTGGTGAGAAAGAGGGTAATCTTTTGACTTCACAAAATCATAAGGCCAGCTTTCAATCTCCGCAAGCATCTACATCATCATACATCCAATATATATACATGAAGAGTATAGAAGATTATGATTCTTTTTGTTTCTAAAACATGCATATAATATGGTTATGATGATGCATACCTGTCTCTTGGCATCGCTCCAGAGATGAAGAGAAGCGTTGGTGTCTTTGGGGGAGACGGAGTTGAGATAAGCAAAGACAGGACCAAAGACCTTCTTCCACGGCTCCCCGTTTCTGTACGACGTATTCATCTCTTTCCCGGCGTAATGCGTGCTCGTGAACATCTGACCCATCCATTTATTAATTTATTTAATTGATTATTATTCATAATTTAAATGAATAAATAAATATAGTTTGTATATATAGTTGCATGCACGTATGAATATTGGAAGAGAGGATGGGAGTTGGACTTGGACTGACGGAGAGAGCGTAGGGGCCCACGTGGGATGTGAGATCCTGCTTGTTGGGCCCACCGCAGCGGAACTCGTCGCTCGGACTGATCATCCAGAACCCCACCGGTGGGTCCCATGACATCCAACCGTGCACTTTGTTGTCTTTGTCTTCGGTTGAGTACATGTACTTATCGTCCACCTGCGTCGCAGGACAAAATTACCACGTTTTTTATACGTTAAAATTTTGGATCCGAAGTTAGAATTATAAACCAAAATCATTCGTAAATTTTATTCGAATTTCGATGTTATAATTTATGACTCATAGATATCCGTAATAATCATAAAAATAAAACTACAGTAATTAAAATTTTAAAAATATACTTAATATTTTTCTGAATTATTTGATTTTTCAACTGACAAAAATATTAGTGATATTCATTAAACTATAAGATTATCTTTGATACGTTTACAAAACTAGAGTGTTTACTTTGGATATCTCAATTTTTTTTATCCAAACTAAAAATATCCGAAATTCTAACCACAACCATCTGCTACTACCCAATCCGGTTACTCCTTACGTACCAATTGACAAATTATTAATTTTTTGAAAATCATTCAATATCAGAATTTTGATGATTAGCTTTCTTGATTTCCAGAAAATTATTTCAGGTGCAAGGTTTATATATGGCATAGACTTTTCTATAAATAAAATAAAACATGGATACCTCTCCTTTAAACAGAGGTTCTAGTGGGTTTGACAAGAGAACGGCCTCTTTGAAAGCGAGAGGCGTAGCTCTTCCACTTCCAATGTCTCGGTCCGCATTCGAGGGCATGCTTCTCTGCCGAGTATCCGATATCGCCATGAAATTGAATCTGCATAATTTATATATATTCTTATAAATGGTTCATTTTGATTTGAAACCAAAGTAAGCGATGAAACTAAACTAAATTAAATTTTAATAATATGGTTACTTCTTGGTGTCGAGCTTGAAGACGATCCTGATTTGGTCCATGTCGACGTCGGGCCATCCTTGTAGTCTCTCCAACACGCCGTACATGTATATTCCAGACACTCCCCTTCGTATTATATATCTTCGAAACATAGATTATATATGTAAATGAATTACATTCGTACGTCCAAATCAATTTATGAAAAATATTTTCTTTTTCTTTTTCGATTAGCATTTCATGACGTACCTCTTGTCCACATTCAACGGGACTACCGAGCCATGTTGCGAAACGTTCCATCTTTTTGTGAAAGAAATCTCGACTTGTTCCTTGCTTTGAGTTATGATGTTGAACTCATTTCCTAATATTCTGTGTAAAATAAATAAAATGCATGTAATGTAGAAGAGTATATCAAAATTGGACGAGATGAATCTGCGTATATATACCATTCGATTTATGTTATTATACGTACCAAGGTGGCTAACGATTTGATTTGATCAGATTAGATGCATGATATAAATGGTCAAATTGTTATATACTAACGCCGAAAATCAAATTAAATAGAGATAGGATACCCACTTGTCAAATATTATCTCCTTTTGCGGTTCATTCCAAACGACGTCCCAATACCTATTTTGAATAGCAGTCCCGGAAAATAATATCACGCGATAAAACTAACATGCAATCATATAAAATTATAAAAAAAACTATATAGTAAAATATATCACGGCGTACCCGCGGTCAGGTTCTTCGACATCAAGGATGTTGTCCATCCCATTGTATTTAATTCCTGTGATTAGGCCTTGTGGGTTCGAAAACGTGACTTGGATGATACCGTTATCGACTATGACCTATCATATCCGAAACGAATCCCATGTATAACCATATTTAGCCACTGTTACGAATCCGAAATAAAACGTCTAGATCAAAACAAAATGAAAATGTATACGCACTTGGTCATTATTCACTATCCTCAGCTCGACAGGGGGAGCCGCTAGATTCGGTCCTGGTTTTGTGGTGTTTAATGTATTTCTGTAACCAAAAAAAAAATTGCAGTAAATTTATTTGGGCGAAAAAGAATTAAAGAAGGGAAGAATATGCATGCAGTGGACCAAACAAAAAAGGGCATGAGGAAATCCAATATGGGAATAAAAGAGACAAAGGAGTCAAATGTATTTAATTCGTATTTATCAGGCCATATATTCTAACGTTGTATATTATTAGTTACAAAATCTATAACTCATCATGCAGTAGTAATAACTCACCAAAATATATATATATATATATCAACCAAACACTAAAAAAAATATAAACGACCCGTATCTGACCCGACCCGACGATTCGGGTTCATGCACAAAAAAAAAAAACAGGAGGGAGGGAAGGTGTACTGTTTCGTGAGGGAACAAACACCACGAAGAAGGAGAAGCAGAAGAAGAGCCTCCACGACCACCCGAGACCCGACCCGACCCGAACGCATTCCCGGAGATCCGACGTCCATCTCGTCCGGCAGTCACTACACACACTCCC